GAGAAGACATGAAACAGAAATACTCTAACTCACAGTGACAGGTCCTCCGCCTCCTGCCTCATGATGCTGACTCTGCTCTTCTTGGGCAGGGCGGGTGAGTTCTGGTCACTGATCTTCTGATAGAATAACATGTAAGCGTTCCAGTACCTCCTCCGTACGTCTGGGTAAGGGTTGGCTGAACACACACACACACACACACACAAGGTTATCCAGCTGTTTCATCCATGAGCTCTCGGGGATAATAAGCAGTACCAGGTGCTTACACTGATCATAGACTTTGGGTCGGTATTCTCCCCCGAAGCACTCGTACTCCAGAGTTTCATCGTTCATATCGAACTCCTCTACCACGTTGTCGTTGAACTTGTACCAGCGCCCTCGACCGCTCCCGCTACAAGGTACGTGTAAAAGGAAAGAAAGATAAAAAAAACAACACCAAGCCGTTGTGACCACATGAAGAAGTGTTATTTAAATGGAGATTATACAGTTCATCACAGTTCGGTCACACCACATGCAACTGATGTTTATTGCTATTGCTAAAATAAACTAACTTAATAAATGTAATCAGCAGAGACGTCGGAGTTTCCGTTCACCGGGCTCCTGGTTAACCGGACTGTCTCAGATTAACAGAGAGATTATGTACACATTTCTAAATTAATTAGAAAAATAAAAAGGCGAGAAATATTCAACGCTAAGAAGATTATATTTATTTAGAATGTGTAAAGTAAAGCTTTATTAATGTTGTTATTATCATTAAGGGTAGGGATGCACCGATATGACGTTTTTGGGCCGATACCGACATTAATGCTTCTAAAATCAGCAGATTTTGTTTAGAATGAAAATGATTAAAGCAGAATTTACGTTATTATGTACACACAACACACACATTTACGCTTCTGAGATGATTACAATCACTATCACATGACTAAACAATTACACATCACCCCCTCACCCTCTGAAACAGAGAAACAAATGGTGACAAGACGGAAAAAATATTGGTTGATAATATCGGCCCGGTTTTTTTTATCGGACCAATACCGATGTTAAAAAATGACTAACACCAGCCGATACCGATACTGATGCCGATATATTGTCCATTCCTAATTAAAGTAGAGTAATTTATTGAAAGACAGAAAAACAGCAGACCAAGTATTGATCCTTGTGGTATTCCCATTTTGTTACTCAAAAATAATGATTTTCTTTATTAACTAACTTAGACAAACTTCTATTTTGAAGATATGAACAGAACTAATCAATTGCTTTGAGAAATCGAAAGCAGGTTGCTGAGTTGGAAGAATGCTGTGGTTAACAGAGACAGATCCCACTTTAAGGTCAAGAAAAACGGCACCCTCATCATCACTGCCTCCACGAAACTGTTTCTGTGGAACACTAAAAGCCAATTGGTCTGAATGAAGGATCTGATTGTTTTCAAGATCATCTGTGTTACTACAATCTTCTCCATCACCTTTAGTAAAACAGGTAGAAAAGAGATCAGGCAATAGTTTAAGTCCCATTAGTCATCATCACACACTGGTTGACCCATCCCCGTGGGGGGCGGTGAGCTGCAGCAGCGGCTGCGTTCGAGAAATATTTAGTGGTTTAACCCCGAAGTCCCAAAAATGTTAAAAGTTCTTCCTGATTTCCTGCCTTGAGTATTAAAATAATAACGTTTTTGTAACTATTAGGGAATTTACTTGTTCATGAGAAAAGTGAAAAGTGTTGTTAACATGAAGCTATATTAGTTTAATGAAACAAGTTTCCAGATCACAAACACCTTTTCCTTAAGAGTTTGACGTTTTATTAAATTTGACATATTATGGCATCTTTTCTCTTTAGTTCTACAATTAATAAAAACATGCAGATGAAGTTCTTAGTAGAAAATCCCTCTCACATAAAGCAATTTTAGCAGTTTTATTCTCGACAGTTTCTGTACCTTCTAGAATGAGCCGTTGAACAGCTTTGTCTATTGAAGAAAACAACCTGGAGCTGGCCATGCCCATGCATCCTCCACTCAGGCTGCTGTAGGCTGAGAAGCTCAGAGTAGAGTTGCTGCTCCTCAAGCAGCTCGTACGTGAGAGGTAGTTATATTCTACTTTTCCCATTTGTGACATCATAAATGGGGACTTTTTGAAATGACTTATTTAAGGCATGTAATTGCTCAAACCAAACACTGACACGAAACGGATGGATGAGTTTTTGGAGTGTTTAGAGGCAGTGGAGTCCCACAGGGAAGGGAAGGGATGCAAAAAGAGAGTTTTGCATAGTATGTTCCCTTTAATGACTTCTGCTGCTTTCACTTTTATGTTTTCCATTATTTAGCCTTGGTAATGTTACCTTCTTTAGTTAATCTGTAATTTTTGGGTAGATTTTTCTGCCAGGTTTACAAAAGCACTAATCACAGAAACAATGCATTTATTGCAATTCTTAAACACAATCAATACTACTAGTGATTAGAGAATGATGATCTTAGCTTCATCACTGTTTTGGGAGTAAATCTGGGGGTAAATTCTACATTTTTGTTATCTTGTCTTAGCCTGGCAAGCCAGACTAAATAAATGTATTATTACATATTACATTATAAACTTTGCAAAGCAAGAATTTGGTCTAGTTCACTAGGCTAATCTTGTCTGGCTACTCGATACGCCACTACGGCAACGAGCATCTATTTCTTCCAGAGCTAAGCAGCCTTTTAAAACTACTCTGGAAAACTGATGTTGTCCAAATATCACAGAATTTAAACTATTAAAATAAAGTAGAAGCAAAACAGGAGTTCAGAATGATGAAAAACATTGCAGCAGATGAGGAAAGTTATGGTGCTGCTCCCTACAGGACCTCTTACCGTCTGTCTTTGATGAAGGAGTAGTAGTGTCCCGCGTGAGCTTGACCACTGTGGACCACAACCCCAACCAACTCATAGTTCTCTGAAATAGTGACCTTCTTCCTGGGAGATCCTCCAGAGGCACCGTCTCCTCTTCCCTCGCCTCCCTCTCCGCTGCAGTCCTGACGAGCCATTCCAGACACAGTGTAGGGCTCCATGTTCAACACCCAGGGGAACTGTTAAAAAGAGTTCATATCCATCTCAAGGATCTACATGCTAATATAAAATGAAAAAGGGTGAGGCATTAATCGGAGACATGCAATCATCAAATATGCATTTTCTTCATACCCTGATCTGCTCGTCGTATTTGATGGATCGCCCACTTTCCCAGTCGAAGCCGAAGCGCATCAGATGAATACAGAGAACGCTGGGCAGGGATTTGATGCAAGTCCTCTTCACAGTTGTTCTCTGTGCGGACGACGCACAGACACACTAATATAACAGATGTCCCAGTGATGCAGTAACAGCTTTAAGCGTGCTTTACAGACCTTCTCTTTGCATTTTTCACAGTAATAAGCGTTGCTGCCCTCTAGCACCTCTCCTCGGACAAACTGGTCCAATGAGATCTCCAAACTCTGGCAAGAAGTCACGCCAAGATTCAGCGCCATGAACGTCTCCTCACGCTCGTATCTGTAAAGGAAAACCTCCAAGGTCAAACACGGACAACATTAAAGGTCACCTGCTAAAAGAAGAGTTCAAACTCACCGGTGTGGGCAGTCTTTACAAATCTTTTGATCCGAGAAAATTCCCTGAAATGTGTTTTTGAAGATTTGTTCTCGGCCCATTTTCTGAAGGAAAGAAAATCACACAGGCTGTTGAAAAACTAAATAAAACAACAAGCTTTTGCTGATTTATGTGCAGCCTGAACTCCAGTTATACCTTCAGGTGTTCATCGAGCTGGTCCACCAGGCTGGTGAAGAACTCATAGGCATCCTGCTGCTCTCTCACATACAGCTCCTTGTTCCACATCTTGAAAATCTGCAACAGATTCACATGAATTATAAATACGTCTCACAGAGGTGTGCGTGATTACCAATATATTTTCTTGTTTACCAGAAAAATGTTGTAAATTCCCCTATGTTACCTTCCAAAAGTTCTCTGGCACATAGTACTGCAGTTTGCTCTCCATGAGGTGTCCAAACAAGGACTGGACCTGGTAGAAGACGCTTTCCTCCGGCTGGTCGGTGTCGTCCTCGATGGCCAGAAAAGCCTTAAACAGATGTCCACATCTTAGTAGGTCTTTGAAACTGTCTTTGTATTAAATCAGCGATCATTAATGAGGTTATAACAGAAAACACGTGTACCTCAGGTAGGCCGGGCTGCATGTAAAGCTGCTGGAACACGGCGTTCATGTAACATGTGGCTCCTCCATTTTTCAATCCGACAAATCCTGAGACCGAACGGCTCTCCACGGGGGGTAAATACTGACGACAGAAACGGGTACGGCTAGGTTAGGTTTGGGATGTTTTACAAAAACTAATCTACAAATAGGAATGCAGCAGAGTCTGACATCAAACTCCTTGGAGAGGGATGGATCCGACTGGTGGTGCATGGACAGCAACTCTTTGGTGATGAGGCGGAGGTTTGAGAGTGAGCTGTCTGCCAGCATCACCAGCACCTCGTAGGCTGCCAGCCGACTGCTGGCTGTGCTGCACCTGAACACACACAACATTTAATTAGTTATAATCTCAGTTTTATAAATAAACACGGATCTCACACCATCAAATAAATGAATAAACTGACAGGCCAAGCAAATGCTGAAGCAAAAGCAAGTCGAGTGAATGTTGATGGAGCCTTTTTACAAGTTCCAGCTGATGTTTGCTGATTTCAGTTTAGTTCCAGTCATATTAAAAGGTTCTGGTTAGGAAATTACAGGGTTAGTTAGGTCATCTCAATACTGGCTCCTTTTCACTGAATCCAGTGTGGTTCAGGTTCAGGTCTAATTCTTTTAGAAGTGCGCTGGTGAAGGTTTTCAGTCATCCAGGTCATATTTGAACTTTCATTTGAACCCTTTTAGATTATTTTAGAAGTGATATTTCATAGAGAAAAAGAAAAGCTTAAAGGGACAAAGGTAGGAGTGTTGGGGCCCTTTTTCTTGATCTACGTAAAGTACGTAACCAAGCTACTCAGCTTGAAGCTTAAATCTTTCTGTGGAGTGACTTACATTTTGCCTGCCTTTCCCCACCATCAGGCTACTAACATTAAAAACTGTAAGTCTGAATCTTTGCATCTGTCCACAGGCAGCCCACAGGGCTCTGTATTGGGCCCAGTTTTATTTAGCAAGAAAATTAATGATGTACCTTGTATATGTAGACTATGATATATTTTAACAAATGCAGATTATGCAAAACCATAGAATAAGTTGCAGTGAGGTTTTTAAGGATTTTTTTTTTTTGAAGATTTAAGGGGAATTGTAACATGCTGGCGGGATAGCTGTTGTTTCCAGTCAAGCATTTCAGTCTCATTTCAACGTAGGATAAATAGGTCAAACACAAACCCAGCTGCTTTACAACCTCTAGATTCACTCCACTAACAAGCACTCAAGACCAGACGAGAAGTCACCGAGTTTTCATCACTGTAACATTTTAAAGAAATATGTCATTTTCATGGTTTAGCTCCTCTTATATGAGCTGTAAACAAAGCTACAAGAGGAGACGGCAACATCCCATTTTCATCAGCAGCATGACAAATGACCCACACTTGTATAGCACCTTTCTGAGCCAGAGGACTCCAAAGTGCTTTACTACAGTGTGTCATTCATCCATTCACACACTGATGGTGATGAGATGTAGCCTAAGCTGCCCTGGGACACACTGACCGAGGCGAGCATCACAGGAATTCTCTCTCCCGCACTCAAACAGCCCCCATCTCATCATCATTTCAAGTGAGGTTAGAAAAAGTTGGCTGTGAGAGATTTAGCAAGGTCAATGTCAAGAAGCAAATTTAATGATATGGTTTTATTCATTTATAGTTCCTTTTTTAAATGACTCTGGTTTAATATGTTCACTGTGTGTAATTGTTAAGATTCTAATATTTTTATACACATTTGATTGTTCAGGACTGCAGATAAACGTTAGCCTTTGTCTGATTCAAGCAAATTTACATTTAAATCATCTGTTGATTAATGCATGGCTCATCACCATCAGTGTGTGAATGTGTGTGTGAATGGATGAATGATACACTGCAGTGTAAAGCGCTTTGGAGGCCTCTGACTCTGACAGGTGCCATACAAGTGTGGGTCATTTATCCTTTAACACACACAGTCTGTTTTTAAATCAAAAATGGAAACCTCTATGAAAACAACGTTTAGTGTAAATAATAACTGACGCTCTTACTTGGGGTGGAAGTCGTGGCTGGGGGCTGGAGAAGGTGTAGGGTTGGAGCTGTTGATGATAATACGAGAAGCTCGAAACAGAAAATCATCCAACAACTGCTGAATGACGGACGGACCTGTAGAAATAAAAAACACGTTATCCACGTTATCACCTTGACAGTAATAAGCTTTCAAACGGGGTTGAGGAGAAGCACTCACCAAGGTGTTCTTTCTCATTACCGCAGAGCGACAGCAACGTCTTGATGAGTCTGAGGTGTCCTGCCAGCAGAATGTTATCTGCCTCGCTGGTCTCCATCTCTGAGCTCCAGCTGGGCTCGAAGTTGTCGAGCCAAGAGATCTCATCCTCCAGCATGGTGGCAGCGCTCACTTTTAACGCCTCCATCTCTGATGCTGCAGGAGGTGAGGCAAAGAAGAGGGGAACCACACAGAGGACAAACAATGAAAAACTGCTCTACAATTACTTTTACTGGCAGCAATATTTTCACTCTAAATATTCTTGCTCCATGTGTGGGGAGCAACGAGTTTCACTTACTCGTTAGATCATCCAGAAGCTGGCATCTTAGATCAAAGTACTCTGTGCACTGGGACAGTAACCTGAGAAGAAAACTCAACATGAAAAATCTGCAAACGCTTTAAGCTTGGTTTATGCTCGACGCGTTCACTTTCTGCTTGGTGATGCGGCTCGCGGCTGGAACGCGCTTCACAACTCGCAGCGTTTATGGTTCGTGCGGTGAGCCAATATTCTCCCAAACTGTAGGGGGCAGCATGGAGCTCTACGGCATGCATCCAACACTACACCATAGTAGAAGTAAAAATTACTGTTGTTTACAACATGGCATTCCAGCATTTTTAACAGCGTCCCCGTCTTTTCCGACAGTGCGAGCTATTTCTCTCCAAGAATTATTAACAACATGTTGATCACGGTGATCTCTGAGAGCTGAATCATACAAATGTCTGTATTTACCAACCTCTGCCATACTAGTTCTTGCCGGTCCGCCATGTTTTTCCACGTCCGACCGTCCGCGTGGTTAGAAATTTTCCTAGGTGCGCGTTGCGGAAATTTTGGGCCGTGCGGAGGTGCGGTGGAGGGGCGTGGTTGTTAAAATGACGCAATTTCGCCGCGCGGACCTCGCGGACACGTCAAGCATGAACCAACCTTTAGAGGTCTTATGAACACTTCCTGCCCTGGTACCTTTGGTTGACGCCTCTCATGACAGATGTGGGACTCCACAGAGGCAGCTGGGCAGTGAGAATGACTGAAAGGAGGAACAGGTTGGGTTTCTGGACTTCAGGGAAGGCTGACGTGTCAGACTGACTCAGGGTATAGAGCTGATCACAAGCCACATGGCGGATCTACGAGGGGTGGACATACACACAAAAACACTTTTACCAGGGTGATGACACACAAACATTACTGTGAGCAGCCTGTTCAGGCAGTTGTTTACCTCTGAGCTGGGCGATCCCAGCAGAATATCAATAATGAAATCGTTGACAGAGAGGAGGGTGTAGAAAGAAGCTGTTGGAGAAACAAAGACACGTGTAAAATCTGTTGTTTTACACGGATTACAGCAATCCTGGTGTTTTACTCCTGATTCAGTCTTACACAGCTGCTGACAGCGTAACTGCAGACAGGTAACCAGCAGAGACAGAGCCTCGCGGGCAATGATGGCATCCTTGATGGAGACGCTCTGCTGACGAACACATATCCCTGCATGCAGTGCCGTTGGCGTGGTCTCTCCCTCACTGCTGGAGCTGCAGTTACTTCCTGCAGGACATTTGATTAAAGTTCATTTCTTAAAGTTTTTGATTGAAACGCGATACAGTGTCTTCTGTTTTTATCTTACCGGTGCTGCTGACTCTGGTGCGAACCCCCTGTGGCAGAAGGGAGCTGTGGGTTTCTTTAATAGGTTGCGGGCTGCCCACCAGGTCCAGTCGACCAGCTGCAGCTGCCCAGGTCAGACGCATGAAACAGGCTACAGTGGAAGTGAAGTCGTTGACCTCCATGGTCTACGCAGGAAACACTTCATTAAAAGATCAATCTGAGTGATGGACTGCTGATCTGTGAGGCTAAAGGTATCCGACCAGTACCTGTATGGCAACACGAGCTGCAGGTATGATCTCCTCCACCCGGATGGATGAGCGCTCAGACAGAGACATCTGTCTGCAGGAGGACTTCTCTGGAGTTCCACAGAGGGACAGTTGCCGACCCGTCCGACTGGCATTGCGGAACGGCCGGGAAGACAAGGCGTCCCCGTCCCTGATGATATCGTCATCCAGTACAGCCGGCATGCTCTGACCAACGAGAAGAAACCTGAAAACACGAATAAATTAGGAAGGAAGTCTCAATATTAAAGAGTTCTTGTGAGGAAAGTGATCACACAGTCACACATCAGCAGAACGTCGCTGCTTCAAACAGTATCTGGTCTACAGGGTCGATCAAAACCTGCCGCGGTGCTAAAGATCGGACTGGGTTCTATTTTTGCACGTCACGTCAATTTCTGCAGTTAACATAGGGCTAGACAGGAAACCACATACAATTTCAATGTAAGATGTCTGGTAATTTTCAAAATAAAAGACTATTGCAGTGATGCAATTTCATATCTATGTAGATTACGTCAATACGTGTGACTAAAGACTTATTTAGTCCCAGCATCGTTTGAGAAGTGCAGCATTGTTTATTTCATGGCTTTAATGCTGGCAGAGGAGAGGAACAACATTATATACGACATCAAACGAGCTTTCTTTCGTCTCCTTTTTGGTTTAATGGTGGACGGCATAACTGGTCTTCCAGGCTGTACTGTGAGACCTCTTCAAATGGTCCAGAACGCAGCGGCGCGTCTGGTCTTCAATCAGCCAAAAAGAGCACACGTCACCCCTCTGCTCATTGAGCTCCACTGGCTACCGCTAGCAGCACGCATCAAATTCAAATAGCTAACACTAGCATACAAAGTCCGAGACGGTACGGCTCCCATCTACCTGAATCCTCTTGCAAAGGCTTACGTCTCGGCCCGGCCGCTCCGGTCATCGCAGGATGGTCGGCTAGCAGTGCCTACACCACGCTCAGGACAATCCAGACTCTTCTCATGCATCATTCCACAAATGTGGAATGACCTACCAAGCACTACCAGAACAGCGGCTTCCTTTTCAATTTTCAAGAAACTCCTGAAGACCCTGCTCTTCAGAGAGCATCTTCTAAACTAGCACCCTCCCTGCACCCGTCCCCCCCCCCCTCTACTGTCCTCTCCTTGTTCCCTCCTCTCCATGACTGATGTCAATGTTGTTGTTGTTAGCCTCGAGGGCAACATGCCGATTATCACTTGTAAGTCGCTTTGGACAAAAGCGTCTGCTAAATACATAAACATAAACATGGCATAAACAAACGGTGACATTTGATGTTTCGAGGGGTTTTGTGATCTCGCGAGTCCAGTGAGGTCAGCGGAGAAGCCGCTTCGCAGCTGAGGCTCTCCTGGCGTGCACCGGTGCAAAGCGAAGCGTGCGAGTAAACTGTTCTGCTGATGCCTCCAGTGTAAAGGAGGTGTAACTGTAAAACATGACATCTGTATTCCCTCATCCACCTACACCTGGAAGGCTTAGAACATTCCCAACAGCAACGCGGGTGTGAAAAAGGACTTTGATCAATGTGTGCTGCACCTGGCCAGCTGAAGACAGATGGAGTAGACTCCTTGTCTGGTTTCGTAGTCCACTTCAGATGGGATGGAGTCTCTCTGCATGACGTTCACCACCAGGCTGCAGAGAAAACGCACGCAGATGGCGGGACCGAAACAGAAACACGGAGGTATTTCTGACAGCTCTGGACGTGTGGTGTTAACAGAACAGCAACTTTCACAGGTGTTTCTACCTGAGGCCTCCTGCTTTAAGGAAGTTCTCACAGAAGGACTTGCTGCTGGTTTTGGCCATTTCATCATCTGATGTTGGCATGAGCTTTGAACTCAACACCTAACGTACAGGATTAAACAAACAGATGTGAAGACATTAATCCACATCAGGGTTTCAGCGTAGATGCGGAGTGATGAGTGTGTGCACACCTCCAGATTATACAGCACTCTGAAGGTAGACATGCCGGGGGCAGACGACCTAAAAAGAGACTCCAAGATGGACGCTGCACTGGGTTGATGCTGCTGCTTCGGGGTAACAGACGGAGAGCGAGAGCCTGCACCCTGGCCGAGGGTGAACAGAGTCTTCTGTAGAAAACAGTCACAAGTTTCAGCTAACATGAGAAGCCTTTCATTATTTAAGGAAGATCTTCCAACGTTCAGCTGAGGCAGCAGCTAAAGTACCTGGTGGCTCCAGACGCTGGACTCTTTAGGAACAAAGTTGTCGAGAGCATCTTGTACTTCTGGATCTGTTGGAATCAGCAGCAGCAGCTTCCTCACACGAAGAGTGATCCTAATGAGCATAAAAGGCAACATGAAATGAGGTTTTCTGTTTTATCACAGTTAATGAATGAATTTAAGATTTCTCTACGTCTGTGAAACGATCTTTAACTTTAATGTGGTTAAAAAGTTTGGGTCAGCAAAATATCTCAAACCACTGGACCCATTTTATTGGAACTCAAAGTAATTATTACAAATAAGTCAACAGTAATGTTTGGTATTAACCCGATTCACGATGGCTGCAGCAGTTAATCCTCCTCACAAAACACTGAACATCATTAACGGAGCCCCTTTTACAGAAACTGAGCTAAAATCTGAAGTAGCAGCAGCTGGACGTCACCCACAACACCTGAGAGACGTTGCACATTTCAAGTGATTGCATATATTATGTTCTAAGTATGACCAAAATGCATGAAGGAAGCATGTTTTGCAGCAAAGCAAAATGCTGTAAAATCCAGAAAGATGGCATCATGAGTTAGGGTTAGGGCCTGTCTGAAGGGGGCTATGGTAACTTGTGATTGCATCTAGGGACGAGTGATTTTAGGAAAAGATTGAAATGCAACTTTTCAAGACGGAAAAGTGACTTTAGTTCAGTTCACGACTTTCTTCAAATCAAGATCCAACACTATATGGTATAATATATAATATTATACCATAAAAACAATAAAAGCTACTATTTTTTCTCCCCTTTTTATGATTTTTAATCTTTTTTCATTTTAATGAGCTGTGAAGCTACTTATGGTTTCATCTACAAGCGCTAAAAACAAGTTGTTCTTGCTCTGCTCTGATAAAGGAGGAAAGCTGAAGGGAAGAATTGGTTTCAAAAGTATTTTATAAGAAAATAAAAACACGCTTACAGAGTTTTCCCTGCACTATTACCAAGGCAGGGTGCCTGCACGTTTATCTGTGCTGCTTGATTGTTTTTCTCACTAAAACACTGCTCTAGCACAGAACTCGGACAGGCTTGTTTGAATTACCGTGTGCCATCAGAAAAACTTAGACCATCTTTAAAAGAAGTGAGGTTATAATGGTAAATCCAGTTCTGCTGCTGGAGAAGTCTGTCGCTCACACACACCGAGGGACAAGCGGCCACAGCAATTATTATCGGCTCTTGTAGCGTTATTAGAGGAAGATAAAAACAGGAAATAAGATGTGCAGTTCTGTCAGCTAAACAACTGAGCTCAGCTCAGGTACCAGCACCCCCCTCCCCCCACGCTCACTGCTGCACACGGGGAAACCCCGGATGCGTAAAATACAGTCAGGTCCATAAATATTGGGACATCAACACAATGCTAACATGTTTGGCTCTATACACCACAATGGATATCAAATGAAACGAACAAGATGTGCTTCAACTGCAGACTGTCAGCTTTTATTTGAGGTATTTACATCCAAATCAGGTGAACGGTGTAGAAATTACAACAGTTATGTGCCTCCCACTTGTTAAGGGACCAAGAGTAATGGGACAATTGGCTCCTCAGCTGTTCCATGGCCAGGTGTGTGTTATTCCCTCATTATCCCAATTACAATGAGCAGATAAAAGGTCCAGAGTTCATTTCATGTGTGCTATTTGCATTTGGAATCTGTTGCTGTCAACTGTCAAGATGAGACCCAAAGAGCTGTCACTATCAGTGAAGCAAGCCATCGTTAGGCTGAAAAAACAAAAGAAACCTATCAGAGACACAGCAAAAACAGTAGGCGTGGCCAAAACAACAGTTTGGAACATTCTCAACAAGAAGGAACGCACCGGTGAGCTCAGCAACACCAAAAGACCCGGAAGACCACGGAAAACAACTGTGGTGGATGACGGAAGAATCCTTTCCCTGGTGAAGAAAACACCTTCACAACAGTTGGCCAGATCAAGAACACTCTCCAGGCAGTAGGTGTATCTGTGTCAAAGTCAACAACCACGAGAGGACTCCACCAGTGTGATTACAGAGGGTTCACCACAAGGTGGTGAGCCCCAAAACAGGAAGGCCAAATTAGAGTTTGCCAGACAACATCTAAAGAAGCCTTCACAGTTCTGGAACAACATCCTACGGACAGATGAGACCAAGACCAACTGGTACCAGAGTGATGGGAAGAGAAGAGTATGGAGACGGAAAGGAACTGCTCATGATCCTAAGCATACCACCTCATCAGTGAAGCATGGTGCTGGCAGTGTCATGGTGTGGGCATGTATGGCTGCCAGTGGAACTGGTTCTCTTGTATTTATTGATGATGTGACTGCTGACAAAAGCAGCACAATGAATTCTGAAGTATTTCGAGCAATATTATCTGCTCATATTCAGCCAAATGCCTCAGAACTCATTGGACGGCGCTTCACAGTGCAGATGGACAATGACCCGAAGCATACTGCAAAAGCAACCAAAGAGTTTTTGAAGGGAAAGAAGTGGACTGTTTTGCAATGGCCAAGTCAGTCACCTGACCTGAATCCGATTGAGTATGCATTTCACTTGCTGAAGACAAAACTGAAGGGAAAACGCCCCAGGAACAAGCAGGAACTGAAGACTGTTGCAGTAGAGGCCTGGCAGAGCATCACCAGGGATGAAACCCAACGTCTGGTGATGTCTACGTGTTCCAGACTTCAGGCTGTAAAAGACTGCAAAGGATTTGCAACCAAGTATTGAAAAGTATAAGTTTGATTTATGGTTCTTATTCTGTCCCATTACTCTTGGTCCCTTAACAAGTGGGAGGCACATATGAAACTGTTGTAATTCCTACACGATCACCTGATTTGGATGTAAAAACCCTCAAATACAAGCTGACAGTCTGCAGTTAAAGCACATCTTGTTCGTTTCATTTGATATCCATTGTGGTGTTTAGAGCCAAACACGTTAGCATTGTGTCCATGTCCCAATACTGATGGACCTGACTGTAGTTGACACAACAGATCCGTGGTCAGTACGGAGCGCTAAAACAAACGTGTCTTTGATGATCTTGTGATCAGGTTGTTTGAAAAAGCAATTTCGGTCCAAAAACGAAAGATCGTTCAACCCCAATGGCATCTATGTAAAACCCATTCATCTCACCTGGGCTCATCTAGGTTAGCCAGTTGATAAAGCATCTCAAAGACGTTGCACACCAAAGCCATCACCACACCTGGAAGGGCCTTCTCCTAAACCGGGGAACAAGATCAATGAAATCATTACATAGAGCATTATTCTAGTCGTTTCACCCGCTCCAGTCACATTCACCCACTCACACCTCCATTCACTGATTAGGACACTAGTTGGGATTAAGTATCTTGCCCAAAGACACGTGGAAACGAAACAGGAAAGCTGTAGTGATGGGAACTCCGGCTCTTTTTAGAGAGCCGGCTCTTTCGGCTCCCACGTGGCTCCTCAGATTTTCAGTTGTGTAGAGTCCATTTATAACCAAAATCATGCAAAACTATATGTAAAATGATTTACTAATGTAAAAAATGCAATATATCAAATATTTATCATTTCTATGGATTTAATAACTGAACACTTTAAGAAATCTCCACTTTCCGACTGCTGGCTCTCATTTTGACCCGGTACTGACCCGGTACCCGTGGGGACCGGGACCGGGCTTTCTCAGTCCTAGCACCGTTACTCTGGAACCAGTTGCCACCCTCTGTTAGGCTGTCCCCATCTCTGCCAGTCTTTAAGAGTCACCTAAAAACACACCTCCTCTGCTTGGCGTTTCCAGAACATGTTTGATTTTGGCCTCTTTTATGTTGAATTTATTTCACAGTTTTCATTGGTTCACTCTGTCCAAATGTGATTCACACATTTGTCCTGTACCAGAATGTTTCATCTATCTTGTAATTTGTATTTTGTAATTTGAATTGCTTTTATTGTTGATTTATTCAATATATTTACCTACAACTGAACCAGGTTCAGCGCTTTGGGCTTCCTGACAGGTTTGCGGAAGGCGCTTTATAAATAAAGCTTTGATTGATTGATTTTCTCACCGTCTTCATCGCACTCTCCGCTCTCTCGCTTTTTTCCTCCTCCTCATTCCCTCTCGTCTCCCTCCACCTGCATGTGCTCTGCTGTGTGTCTGAGTCTGATCCTCCCTCTTCCCCGCCCCTACTGCTCTGTGTGTGGACAGTCTGGACACGCAGTTACACAGGTTGACCAATCACCTGTAGCTTTCACCGAAGCAAGAGGCGAGGGGGGGAGGGGAGGGCTCCCAGTGACGAGCCGGCTCCCGTTGTTCACTTCAAAGAGGTTCGTTCGCGACCGACACACACCACCGACCAGCTGCCCTTACCACTGATCCACAGCCCCTCACTCACTGCATCCTAGCCAGGGTCATGCCTTGTACGCACAGTAACTGTACTGTCATGGTTTCGGGTACTACCTGCTCCAAGGCATAGGCAGAGTTGAAGACTGCAGAACTGGAACTGCTGGAAGCGGAGGCTGAGGACTCGGAGCTGCCTGAAGGAGTCCCAGTGCCCGAGCTCTTCACCGTCAAGCTCTGCTCGTCACTGAAGCCGAGCTGGGACAACAGCTTCTGGTCCCGATTCATCGTCAACTATCACACGCAAGAGAGGTCGGGAAAGGGAGGGAGGAAAATATATGAATGAATGTCAGTCAGGAAAAACAAGAAGGAACCAGAGAGAGTAACACTTACCACACTGTCATTGGCAAAAATCTGCACATTATCTACTGGACAGCTCAGATGCTCGGCTATCTTCCACCTGATGCTTCCGACCGTCTCATTACTGTGGGTCTGCAGAACGTACACGTGGTCAAGGTGGGCAGCGCTTCAGCAGCGTGTTACAGAAACTGTTAATACCTCTAGGGTGAACGTGTCTTTGGTCGACTCATAGGTGACGTGAAGAGCGACGGGGTGTCCGTTAAACGAAGCCCCGTGAGGTAGAATAGTACGAGGAAATGAGTACAAGTCCTACCCAGAGGTACAAATGACAAACTTAATAACAGAGAACTTTATTTTTCTGTTAAAAACCCACCTCACAAGTATCTGCTGACACATACCTCTATAGTGATGACGTAGCGTTCAGCCAGTAACAGCAGCCTTTCAATGATCACCAGCTTCGTAGATCTACACACCAACAGGAGATTTTCAGTGACATTTAAAGGTAGATCTGTTCTTAAGTCTCATTAATAGTGAGGTATGAAACGATTTGAGATAAAAAATAAATTAAAAGTTGAAATAAGTTAAGTAATTCTGTTCTTACCCAAACCCCCCTCTGTACCTGGAAGGTGACTGTACAGATGTGGCCACAGTTGGCATGGCTGTGGCAGTCAGCATCTTGGTTGCCTTAGTAACCGCATGTGTCAAAGTAGGCCCGCCCAGGGCTGAGCTTGCAGCCTGAGGAAAGGAGGAACAGATAAGTGCTGCTGTGGCCCTATTGTTTTGGGCAATTAGAGTGGTGCTAATCAGAAACTCAAGCACATACCTCAAGTCGCTTGTAGCAATCAGCAATGAACTTCTTGTGCAAAGAGACAGAATCCTGCAAGGTGGAAAGGATAAACAAAGGCGAGTCTGTAAGTAGGTCACAACAAGTTTTGGAGTGTATATTTCATAAATGTACCAAAGACATAGTGAGGATTATGGTTTTATTAAAAAGCATTAGTCTAGATCACATATGTCAGACTCAAGGCCCGCGGGCCAGATGCGGCCCGCGGAGCATTTTTATGTGGCCCGCGAGATAAATATCAAAAATATATTAAAACTGGCCCGCTGGCCGATTTTACCGCAAAGACTTCAACTCCCATGATGCTTTGCGGCGTCAGCGTGGAGCCGAAGCGCCCCCTCCTTTGTGTTTTTTCAGCGCCTGCTGCCGGTGTCTGCAGCTCGGCTGTCTCGGACAATTTACACTCCTCTCACTCAGCGCCGAGTTCACTCAGCTGTTTTCTGACGTTGAAGCCCAGAAACGGAGATTTTAACTGCTCAGTAATGTGTTCATGACTGAAAGAGAAAGTGTTCCAACTAACGTCCAGACAGAGCCGATATAACTCCAGCGAGCAGCGACACGCTCAAACCAGCACGACTCTGTGGTCGTGTTTCCTCCCCGACACACAACAACGTGGTCAAGCTGCTCAGACATGTTCATCAGCACAAACCTATGTGAGCACCTGTTGTCATCTAATGTTGTCATTATTATGATGAAGATGAACAAAACAACAGGAGTCTCCTCCTGAGCTCAGACCTACCCCATGATGCAGGTATCTGGCTGGAACAGGTGAGCATCACAGTAAACCAGTGGAGCAAACTGAGCTTTAAATATGTTGGTTTGATGCTCTTTTTCTGCTCCAAAACATGAAAGTTAACAGGTGAGATGTTGCATTTTCATTTAAGATAAAATGATATTTTATTTTGTTGTTGGCCCGTGAGAAAAGATTTAACCTACAGTAAACAGGAAGTGGAAAGGCTGCAGATAGATGAATAGAATAGAAAATGCCTTTATTGTTCCTCAGTGGGGAAAGCTAGACGTCACAGCAGCGATGACACGTATTACAGGAGAAAAAAGGAGAATAAAAATAAGAAAAATGAATAAACAAGATAACATAAATCCTGAATAGATTTTAAAAATGCTGATTATACCACAAGTAATAAATACCACGGATGTGTTTTATTTAAAACTGACTTGCTCGTGTGTCATTTGGTTATTCCACATTCAGTGTTAATGCAGAAATATGTTTGTTTCCAAATTTAAAAGTTCAAAACTACATACATGTTGATAAAGAAAATGGGCAAATTTGCGTCACTTTTTCAAAAATATTAAGTTTGGCCCTCGACTCCGTCCCAGAGTTTCATTTCGGCCCCGTGTGAGTTTGAGTTTGACACCCCTGGTCTAGATGGTGCACACACACACACACACACGCACACGCACACGCACGCACACACACACCCACACACACACACACACACCCACACCCACACACACACACGAACACACACACACACACACACACACACACACACGCACACGCACGCACACACACACACACGAACACACACACACACACACACTGACCTTCTTCATTTTAGGATTGAGGTTGGTGTAGCTATAAGTGATGATAAGCTGGATCGCTTCATTGGCTATTTCCTCATCTGGGGTTTCCATGGCGATGCGCCAAATAAAATCCATCCCTTGCAGGTCAAGACGCTCAACACACTGGTCAAATCATATATCCCATTAATGCACAAGAACACACCACTATGTGTTCTACGTATAAAGAAGAAAACAAGGGACTGACCAGCTGAGTTCCCTGGCGTTTCAGACGATGGTCACACAGATTGACGTTCTCAAAGAAAGTCTTGAACAAGCTGAAACCTGAGGCACACACACACACACACACACACACACACACACACACACACACACACACCAAACATCATATCTGCAACTAAAAACACCTCATAGTGAAATCTTTGACTCATGACTCTTTGACTCATGGCTCTCACCATTCATAGTGATCTCATAGGGTTCCAGCTTCAAGATCTTCTCCTTGAAGAGCTGCTGCTGGACATCACTCTCCAGGTCATGCTGTCCTTTGGTGAACCACTCAAAACACATCTGTACAAACAAAAGCATGCTCAGCTGAAACTTAATTACTGAAACTTTGGAGGACAGAGTTTGTTTTTATTTGATTTTTTTACAAGAATCTGATGCAGCAGACAGATTTTTGGGAAAGCAGTAGTGTGCAACCTTTGGAAACCACTGGGAGGCGCACTAACCAGCAGATCCGTGCATGATGGATGATTCTACAGATCATAATCACACAGCTTTTCTTCATAAAGAAACAGCAGTTTATAGCTGTGTTTAGGTTCATCATGCTGTCAATAGAACATTTTAAATCTGGTCTTTTAAATGGCAAATTTTGCTTCCAATAATTAAACCAAATGAATGATCTTTTCGACGAGCAACACTTTTTCCGTTATCTAATGAGTAGACCTTGATCCCCTTCAGTGGTGAGCTCATAGTGACGTTTAATGTCTCCTTTAGCAGGAGGAGGTGGCAGAAGAGAAGAGCTCACGCTTGCTGAGCCCCATCTGCATTCCACTAAAGCGGTCATCCAGATGAAAAAGGTGCCTGCTCCGACAAAAAGCCAAGGACAAGGTTGCATTTGCATCAACTGCCTTCATACCTCACGATCAAGTTCACAAACGTCCGGCCCCGTCACTAGGCACTCCCACAGCTCCTTGGCTCTGCTCCAGACCAGGTAGAGGCTGGCTTCTTGGAGGAAGAATGCCAGGAAGCGTAGGTGGCTGTCCAGATACTGCACACAGATCCAGAGACACGTGTTGGGTATCCATTAAGAGAAAATGGGACATTTATTGCAATTATTGCTTAATTAATAGCCCGACACAAGCTAACCTCCTGGTAGGTGTATCTACCGTCCACTAGAGTGGAAGCAGAGAGACCGTTACGTCCCGAAGCCGTCACAGCGAGTCGGTGGCAACACACGAGAGATCCTGTCATCAGTTTGACGATCTCAAAGTTTTTCTTTAAGTCCTGGATGATGCTCTGTTGTGAAGCAGGAAGTGGTTACCATAGAGAAGCCGCTTGTGTGGAAGCCAGTTTGGATGCGGTGTGCTTGACTTACCTTGTCTTGCTTCTGATAGGTCTGTTTGATAAAAGAACGAGTGATTTCATGCAGCTGGCGGAGCGCGGGGACCACCCAGACGGCCTGAGGAACGCTCTGCTGAGACGCCTGAGGAAACATATTCACACGGCTTGTGAAAAAGCACATGTTTAAGTCTGTGATGGGTCTCCTGAATCTTTGGATTTCCTTTAAACAGAATGTTCACGTCAGACTCACACACTTTCAAGTATTGGTGTTTTGTAAAGAGAAAAATAATCAGTCAGAGCCAGGGATATGAAGTACCAGAGATCAAATAATCATAAAAATTCAAACATCAAACACGTGCTTCTTCTAGATATCCATGGTTCTGAGCACTTGCACCGATCAGGCAGTTAAATCACTCCTCAGACGAGTCTCACCCACAAGATCAACAGCAGTGGGCAAGCATTCAAACAAGCCATAGCCCTCGGTTAGGCAAGCAAAGATCAGCAGACGTCTGGTTAATCTACCTCATTGAAACCAAGAGAAATTATCGACCTGTGACCAAAGAGACCCCCTTTGTTTGAACCCTCCTCCATGATTGGATGGCAGGCAGGAAGCAGTGAGATTAAACACACACCGGTCAGTGAAATCATGGGATTACGCTCTTACTTTAGCCAAAGTGTTTGATTTCTTCTTGACCCAAGTGCCAATATGAAAAGAGCTTTGAGTGTTGCTGCCTTTACTGTCCTCCTGAATGTGAGTCTAGAGACATACATTTCATTTGAAGGGGGACAACTGTGAAAATCTGTGTTCATACCCAATAACAAGACGGTGATGTGTTTGGTTTACGACATGTGGCTACAAGCAAGCACGTAGCTTATTGCACCTGAATATTGAAAAATATTTCAAAAATCAGCAAGTATCTAAAAGCATGACTCAGCTGTTTTTACAGCAGGTGCACAGGTTAGTCATGCTTGAGAGCAATCCTGTATTCTACCAGTTTAGTGATGATGCTACACCAAACGCAGAACTGAGAGAAGACAGGGAAATAAATGTGAAAGCAAGCAACCCTTCCACTCCATAACATAGTATTAACACAAATAAGCCATAACATAATGACCACAGACAGGTGAAGACCTGTCTTGTCTTAGTTCAGTGGGACTCACTCCTGGTGTTGGAGAGCCGGTATCCAGCATGTTTTAGTTTAAACTCTGCTTCAACACACCTGATTTCAATCAGCAGGTGATTAACAGGCTTCTGAAGAGCCTGATGAGCTGCTGCACAGGTGATGCATCACCGGAATAAGGTGTGTTGGAGTAGAGAAACAAGGAAAACATGCTGGATACCAGCCTCCCAGGACCAGGAGTGAGTTCCACTGCCTTAGTGGGATGAACTGGAAGAAAGGATGCAAAAATCAGAAAGGAGCTGAGGACCCAACAAATCGAAGTCTGGGTCCTAGCATCTGCACAGCTTCCGATCCTGGTCCACAGCAGTCAGCAAAAACTAAACTTGAATAGAGGAAGGCAAACTGGTGAACCAGCAAAGGGTCATGGAAGCCTTGGTAATGCACGTGTGGAGCAGAGACGGGCTTGTGTTGTCTGATGCAACAGAAGAAATGCTGTTGCTGCACTGGAGAGGGTGAGGGGTGGGGGGTGGGGTGGTCTGTGGGGAGAGTTCATGGGAATAATGATTTCTGTGACTTATTTCTGCAAGAGTCCATGCAACATTAATAAAATGGTCCAAAGCTGGTTTGAGAACCGTCATAACAAGTTTAACCCTTTGATGCATGAATTATGAGATCTTCAACCTTGATGTTTTCAACCATTTTTTTCACTCTTTTTTAGGTGTGAATGAAACAAATTTCAACAAATATTTTTTGTAACATTTAATAATTTTTTTACAATTAATTTATTACAAGTCCACCTCAGTGGACAGCGTGCGTTCTGAACATGAAATATGTCGGCTTGACTCACTGAAGTCCAAATGGAGGAGCTCAAATCCAATAAAGTCTACACATTTTAAATACCTGTCCACTGTAGTGACCACTATGCATCAAAAGGTTAAGGTTTGCAAACTACAAGAAGAAGAAGAAGAAGATGATGATCCTGAGGAAGGTGGAATAGGTAGGGAGAACAGAACAAGGAGAGGGTGATGAAGGTCACACCAAAACCAGCCTGAACAGGTGAGTCTTCAGCTGCTTTTTAAAGGAGACCACTGAGTCCACTTATCTCAGGCTCAGGGGGAGAGTTCCAGAGTCTGGGGGCCACAGCAGCAGATGATCTTTGGTCTTTAAAGCCTGGCCAGCCATGAAACCACAACAAGAAGAAGCGCTAAAATCCTTTCTTCTAATGAAAGATCGTTACGCCTTCGCCAGACGCCATCTTTGACTACAGCTAAAAAATGACAGCATCATGTGATACAGTCATAATTTCCACAGTTTTTCTGATTGGTTATTTTTGAGCTGGCTAGTCCCGCCCCTCGTGGGGCTCTCTGCCTCCGAGTATCCAGACTCCTCCTCTGTGTAGAACAGACAGGCCAGGCTAGGGGTGCTTGTGGAAACAACAGGGGCGCACAGTTAAAATGAAGTGGGTGGTCATAATGTTATGGCTCTTTCGCGTGTCTTTTATAAACATCATCAAACACAACTTTATTCACCTGTGCTTCTTTTGCTAACAGTGCATTTAATAAAGATGTCAGTTCTTCAGATGGGTTTGTTCAAGTCTTTCAAGTTCAAACATCAGCAAGCATGTTCATGAAATAAAAATAAATACACGTCCTGTATTTGAGCTGCAGATGTAACATAAGGGCACCATACAAGGACCTGTAGTTGCTCACTAATGAGGGGATAATTATTCAAGTGGCTGAGGAAAGGGAAGTCGTGTCTTTCTGCTTAGGCTGCTGCCCCCCCGACCCAAACCCTGATAACCGCAGACTGATGGATGGATGATTCATTCTTACTAAATACTACAGTTTGTGAAAAAAGTAAACAAATAAAACAGTTATAATTAGTAGATTTGATTAGAACTAACATGAGATAAACTTCACAATTTCTACTACGATGAGGGCGACCACACGTACATAAATGATACTGCTGCATGCCATCTCACCTTCTTAATGTCTTCAATGCATTTGATGATGTAATTGCGTTTCACGGTCTCCTTGACAGCATAGGCGTCACTCAGAATCCCCAGATGTTCCTCCAGCGCCTGCTGAACTAGACTGGTTGGCAGGGTGGGGAGGTGAGCCAGCTCCCACAGCACCTCTAGCACCTAGAACACACACACGCACACGCACACACACACACACACACAAACAAGATGCCTCATACTGAAACAGAAACTTTTATTTGACGACCTGAGAAAAGCCTTTTGTGTAAAACAGAAACTGCTTAACATATATTTATTAACGTCATGTAGAAATGTTTACGGTACGATTCCACTTTATCTTCGTAAAAATACAAATGCATCCCATCGTACCTTTCCTGTTGTGGTTTCAGAGCGAGCTTCACGGCCAATCCTCCCGATCAGGCTGAGCAGCTTCTGCCTGACACGGTCACTCTCCACCTCCCAGCTCTAAATTACATGCAAATAACTTTTTTAAGGAAACAACGTGCTCTTTAAAGAACGCTGTTCGATCAGTCACGCCGTCACGGACCACACCGACCTTTTGGATCAGGACAAAGAGGTGGGTGAGCTGATCAAAGCTGAATTTCACAGCAGCAGCAGCAATAATTGTATGAATGTTTTCTATCACAGTTGATGATTGGCCTGCCTGTAAAAAAGAACATAGAAATCAACACTTCTGCTTGGTGGCAAGGACCGAGTATTGGTTATTTATCAGAAACACAAAGCTCAGTTTACGGTTTTCAGAGGTGTTGATAGACAAGGAGCTACAGAGGAATAAAAACATTTAAGAACAGGTCTAACATGACTGGAAATAACTTTATTAACCTGTATTCTCCAGATCTTAGAGAGTTCATCCAGAGACAGTTTACTACCCAGCAGCTCAATGATTCCCTTAATCCTCTCGCAGTACTGAGCCTGATCAATGTTACCTAAACAACACAAGTTATATGTCAGACGACCACTGCATCATTTCAGACTCTCGAGTAGAACTCGCCTCGATAACTTCTTACCTTCTAATGCTATTGACAGGACCGAGTTCTCCACGAGCCAATCAAGCAGCTTGTCTGTGTCGATGGCATTCTTAACCGATTTTGACACCGTGCTCTCCTCTATTAGTTTGGTCACCTGCCAGACAAACACAAGGGGATAAAATGTGTGTTACAAAGCTCAAATGATCTGAAACAAACTGGTCTTAACGAGTCAGAACCCACGAGAACGGACCTCTTTGAGGGAGTTCATTTTGGTAGAGAAGTGGGGCGTTTTGAGCATCCGGAGGAGGGTGTCCAGCCTCAGATCGTCCACCACGGCGACCAGCTCCCTCTGGAACCGCATACACAGCAGCTTGATGGCAGACAGCAGGTCGGGGATGCTTACTAGACGCTGGGGTTAAAAGGGGATTCGTTAAAGGGAGACTTGGCAGTTTTTGCTTGCTTTTAGCACCCCCTAGTGTCCGTTTGTAGAACCGAAAGCAAAACGTATCTCCTTGCTGTTTGTTTGTCTTTTTAACACCTAAAGCTTGGTTTATGCTTCTGCGGCAGCTCCACAAGGGAGAGACACGCACAGATTGACGGAAATGTTTTGCCTTCAGACTTCTCCGTCTCCTGGGGAGTGTTGCAAAGCAATTCCCCGCCAGGACAACAGAGGGCGCAGCGCTGTTCTGGGATATCCTGCCATGTATCCGGTCCCAGATAGTGCATTTACCGTAACTTTTTTAACACGGAAACATTTGTCCCTCATTCTCCTCCACCTCTTCATGCGCTCGCCACCTCTAAACCCACGTTCCCATCATTTACGTCCACAAATAAAACACTTGCTGCCCATCTTTTTACACCTTCAGTCACGGGTGAAAAAACGTTCATATTTTTACAGAGTTGTTACGGGAGGTATTCTTCAACCTGCTGAGTGTCTGCTGCTAGATTTCTTTGTATTTGGGGGCACGGTGGCGGTGCTGTTGACAGAAGCTGCATCCTGACCAATCACAAGCTTGCGTTCTCAGTCTCATTCGACAGATGTTTAGAAAAGTGGGTTTGACTCCGTCCATCCTTGTGAGGGCTCTCCAGCAGGCCCGCAAGGACAGATAATGGTGCTGCGTGTCTCTGTACCGACGCAGACGCAAAGGCATAAAATAGGCTTTAATCTAACAGCTGAAATGTCTCCCGGCCTTCCTAATTGTCTACAGGAATGATTCATCACTAAATTAAACAAATCAGCTGTGTTCACAATCTAAAACATACAGGAAACATGCTAGAACCAGACTATTCTGGCCACGGGGGAGCTAGGGCCTGGGTGGCCTGTCGTTAACCCTGTAGAGGGTTATTTTAGCCCAAACTGGCTCAAGAAAATGATTTAAACATATGAAAAAGTATCCCTTTAAATGACAACCACTCTATTGGACACGGTTCTTATTTCTGACACTCTACCTTATCCTTAAGGTCCTTTTCCTCCAGATTCTGCACGTATGTGATCGTCTTGTGTATGACTGGATCAAGCATGGGCTGAGGGTGAAAAAACAAAAACAACATCAGGAACTTTGCCGATCTCCACTGAGAAAACGAGGCCACTGGAGTAGCACAACTGTAAGAAGATACAGTCAATACAAATAGAACAGAAATCAGAATGGAGCACAAGGCTGGTGTTGAGAAACAGATGATCATTCCAACATGAAGCTTGGGAGAAAAACACAGACTCTGTAAAACCGTCAAAACTTCTTTCTTTTGTCTTCTTGCACAAACTTAGAGGACATTTAAACCATTGGACTGGGATTTACTCAACATACATCTGTGGGTGTGAGTGGCAGCTCACCTGGACGAGGCTGGAGTTTAAATATTCAGCACACACACCCAGAGGCTGGACCAGAGCTGATACACACTGTGGAGGCAGATGAGAGGAAACAGTAAAGGGCGCACAGCTGTGATGATCAAAAACACCTGATGAACTGTGACACTCGTCAGTCAAAGTCTGACCCATCTGAGTCAGACGTTTCAGGTTATGCTGTGATCGTGTGTGTGTGTGTGTGTGTGTGTGTGTGTGTGTGTGTGTGTGTGTGTGTGTGAGTGAGTGAGTGAGTGAGTGAGTGAGTGAGTGACTGAGTGAGTGAGTGAGTGAGTGAGTGAGTGAGTGAGTGAGTGAGTGAGCGAACATGAGCATCATATAGATACAGGTGTGGGTTTTCAATCACATGAGCGTAGTGAACAGTTCCTGTATTCTCCGTCTCTTGTTCTCATTCTTCTGTGAGCGCCGCCGCCTCCTCCACTGTACACTCAGTAACCCTAACCTGCACTCCTGGACTTCCTGCTTAAAGCTCACAAATGGACAAGTAACCTCTGGAGGTGAGTGGTGGAGAGGAGCGGGGAGGGCTTTCCTCCCATTAGCTTTAATCTTTTCACTTTCAGTCTCTGCTGCGTTTGGCGAAAGTATCTAACGGCTAACACACACACACACACACACACACACACACACACACACACACACACACACACACACACACACACACACACACACACACACACACCAAGGAGCATTACATTAGTCTGCAACGAGTCTTTGCTTCAGAAACATGCTAATGATTTTGCAGTGTGTGTGTGTGTGTGTGTGTGTGTGTGTGTGTGTGTGTGTGTGTGTGTGTGTGTGTGTTGAATCAATGGCTTTGCTCCTGCAGCAGTTCCGGCTAGGTTCACTGAAGGAAGCTGCAGAACAAGGATGCCTCAGAACACTTAAAACAATGGAGCATTTCACCCATCGCACACCAGGAGGATAGCAGAGTGTGTGTGTGTGCGTGTGCGTGTGTGTGTGCGTGTGTGTGTGTGCGTGTGTGTGTGTGCGTGTGTGTGTGTGGTGGGATAACAGAGGTGAAGGGGGTAAAAAGAGACATTCAGCAGCCTGCAGCTGACAGAAGTGGGGTAAACATGTTGACCTTTTGCCTGCATAGCCAATATCAAAGCCTGTCTGCAGCAACTCTCAGTTGTTTTCCAACATCAGAATAAACTAAACAAAAAGTTAGGAAGAGAAATTCTTACAGCAATCTCGATATCCTCAGAGTTGAGTTTTGTCTGGATGGCAGCGAAGCCTCCCAGTTCTCCAAACTTGGAAGAAAAAAACCCACACAAAATCAAACGCATGAGCCAAACGGTCCCAGCTAAGAAGTGTTACACAACAATCCAATACTCACTCGATTCACCAAGTCAACCAGCCAGCCATGAGGCTCCTGAAAGAGAAACCATGTTTGCAGCTGATTTGATCGATGACAGTGCAAATTCTGACAGCTGTTAGCGTCACTAACACGTTCTCTTAAACATGGCGATTATGTCTGACACTGCTGAGGATGAAAAACCGGCTCGCCTGTCCGTGAACGTCGTTATGAACCGTAAACAAACACCCAGAAGAAAGCGGGTGTATAAACACTAGAGCAGATACGCTCTGCTTACAAACGGAACATAGAAGCAACACTTTACAGTAAACAACAGGGATGTCAGAAAATAACCGTTTGGCAATTTATCGATATTCAAAAGCTGTGTATCGAGTTTTGGGGAGAATTTCCACGCAAACATTTGTGTATTTTCTTTTCTCTTGGTGCAATTCAAATGCCAACCACTAGTTGGCAGTAGCGTACAATGGGTTTTGTTTCCACCATTGTAAATCCCTCTGTTATGGTTCAGATACCTCATGTTAAACATGTTATGTATCAGTTTGGACTGTTTGTTGAATTTTCCAACAATAATTTCAGCCTTAAAAAATCGCTAATATCATCTGGCTGAATGTATCGCAATATATCGTGATCTGTATCGTATCGCCAGAATCTCACCAAAACATATCCCTAGTAAATAAAGCGTTGAAGGACCTACTTTCTGATAGCTGTTGCTAGGGGAGACAGCAAAAATGTTTGCCTCGTCTCCAAAAACTTCCGCCCAGTTCCTCTGACACGGCTTCATCCGATTCTTAAAGTGGTACTCGTTGTCGGGGTTAAGGGCCTAGAAACAAAACAAAGAGACAACCTTTTTAATAAAAATGGGCTTTAAAGCTAAACTGAAATAATTAGCAGTGATATGTTATAACCACGTCACAGTTCGACCCAGTAACAGAGTAGTCCTGTGTGAGACAACACACCATGGTCAGGACTCCCATCAGGTTTACGGGTACGGGATCCTGCTTCACCCTCTCTGCGACCAGCTCCACCAGCAGCATGAGCATGTTGTAGATGCCCTCATGGATCTCGGTGCCCCACTTGTGTACAGCACTGCTGGTCAACAGCTAACGACAGGGAGACACAAACCAGGAGTCACGTGATTCTGGTGCAGATTCTCATTCATGAAAAGTCTGGTCGACCGATGTTGGGTTTTCTGTTGCCGATATGGAGGACACACTGAAACTTGGGTGCACTGCTCAGTGTTAAAGTCTGACATGCAATCAACAAACTAACCAATTATTAAATATTCAAAACTGGTAAATAAAATTAAATTTTTGCTGAAAATAATTATTTGAACGCAGTTTACAGCATCCAACCCATGCAGACGCTTTAGAAACAGGCTCAAAGCGGTTTTATACTCACACCCGTCAACCGTCTCTCTCTACTTATGACTATAAACTAAGAGTTTATTACTCTTGAGAATTTCTGCTGCTTAACTTTTGACTCCTGCTTCAAAATGTCAGGCCTTCAAATACATTCAGATAGTTTGACATTTCAACTAATCTCAAAATGTCAATTATTAGACCGTCTCTGATGAAGTGCCAGCTTTTACAACCGTTTAAATGTCCAGTTTATCAACTAAGGTCAGCTATTTTCATTATCTGCTGTTCAGTGCTGCTCCACTTTGAGTTGTGTTAACATGCATGAAGTGATTTTTGCTCCCAAGTCTTCAAATGCATTTAGCTAATTTTGAAAGGTGATCATAGTTTCAGCTTCACTTCATCTATTTATTGTGAGTATTTATTAAGCAGAAGTTATTTAGGAACATAAATATACATTTGAATAAACTTCTACAGCAGCACCAGGCTGCCCGGGGACGTGCCTGACTTTGATCGGCTCTACCATTTACTGACGATATACATCAGTTGATGCGATATATATAAAAAAAGCAGTAAATATCAGCCCGATATACCAACTACCCCTAGTCCAAAGAGCTTTATATGTTCCTTTTTAAGGCAACTGGATGTCAGTGACTTGATGCAATTTGCTGGGTTCCTTATATAGGACACATTATTTCTGATTGGCTTAATGAACTGTGAATTGGAATGTTTATTATTTGAAGCGCCTTGAGACGACTCTTGTCGTGATTTGGCGCTATATAAGTAAACTTGAATTGAATTGAATTTATTTCTCATTCTTTCTCAATATGAACTGAAAAGTTTCCTCAGCTGAGAGGAAAAAGACATCTTCAAAATACAGGAAAATTTAATCTAGCAGCTCGTTTTCTCGAAAACCCAAAAGTCTGGTGATGTCTGAACTGATGTTGTTGTTGTTGCTCACCTTTTTAAAAGCCTCTGGCATGCAGCGATCCACGAAACGCTTACAGTTCTCATCAGCATCAGCAAGACCTGACAGGAACAGAGAGGACGGATTCACATACTGATCCTTATTCTAAAACTGGAAAAGACATCTGGGCGCCACAGTGTGACTAAGCATCCACAAAAACAACATATGAAGAAGGGAGGTCCAGTACATCCCCCACACACGATGACACTGACATCATTTACGCTCTTAAAAACAAACAAACAAACACACACACCCCAAGCATCTTACCGTGCCGTGCTAGACAGGTGGAGGCGATGAGACACTTGCCCAGGGACTCCTCCCTCTTATAAGGTATAGACCAGTGGTCAGTGAAGACCCGGCTCTCCAGCTCATACAGGTTGGTGGTGGGAAACTCCATGCTGCCTCCAGAGCAGTTCCCATTTTCGTCGTTGCTTCGCTGTAACAGACAGACACAACAGATGTATTACCCTATGCACAAGGTGACTTTACTCCCACAAAGCTGCTCATGCTGTTTCACGCCACCGTGCGTGTCCTCTGTATGATGCTGTGGTCATACTAATGGCCTCTGGCAGTGATCATGTCAAACAGGACGTTGTTTGATTCCTTTCCTCTCTCTGGGAGACCAACAAAGCAGGAAGAGCGTCTCTCTCCTGCTTCTCTGCTTAAATTTCATACATCTAAGTAATCACTGACTCAACTTTACCAAACATCCAGCTACATGACACAACACTTCAATACGCGACCAAATCAAATCAAATCAAATCACTTCTATTGTCACGTCACATGTGCAGGTACACTGGTACAGTACAGAAGAATTTCACTCACATGTACTGTACCAGTGCTCACCAGATCAGACAGTTTCAGCTGCTGCGACGGAGCAAATGAGGAATAGGGAAGGTTCAAATTAAATGCACATAAAATTGATTTTCACATCTTTTGGTTTTATGGTTTAACGTGTCAAGCTGAGCGTCAGCTGCTGAAGGAAGTCAAAATAGGAAGTTGCAGTAAGGCCCATCACTCTGTGACGAAAGAGACAACAGGCTGGCAAGGGATTGAATGATTTAACTTTTCACGCCTAAATCGTGCAGCTCTATAGCGAAGGGGCCAGGTGCTACGCTAAAGCGAACGCAGTAACGAATGTGGTGAATCAGAAAGGCATTGTTGATTTTACAGCAGGTTAGCGTTGTAGCTGTGCCACTTAATGAAGCGGTTTTGATTTGAAAAGTCCCAAGATTCAGCTCTGAATACATCATGAATGAGCTGAACTATTACTGTCCATTTAGCCTGCAGGCATTCCTGTGATTAAATATTAACACAGAGCAACAAAGTTAGGTCAAGTCTCACCCTTCAGAATTCAAACCCGTCATGTTGGTATAATACATGCTGGTGTTCAGAGCCTGATTTCCTGCTCTAAACGCTGAATAATGTGCAGTAGGAGGCGTTAGGTCTATAAAGAGGAAGACAGAAGTAAAGGAAAAGAGGGGGAGAAGGATCGTATTTCACCTCTTCCCCTTCGAAGAAAACCAGATATGACAAGCAGACAGAAGTGGGATGAGACTGAACGAATATAGAGAGCAGAAAAATATAATCAGACATTGATTAAACATTTTTTATGTTGGCGACATAACCAAATCACAACACCACAATAATAACAATTATAGTCACTTTGGAATAAATGACATTTTGAAGTTGCCAACAAGATAAGAAAAGGGAAGTTTCCACAATCTGAATACAATAAACAGAAGCTCTCTTAAATCAACCCCTAAATCTGCATGGCTTTAGGGAAAACCATGCCTAGAAGGTAGAGTTTGCACCTGTGTGCGTGGCTGTGTTGGATGCCAGGGTAATCCAGCACCACTCTGTAACCGTGCTCCAGCAACCCTCTTGAGAACCCCTGCAAAAACCCCAACGTGTGGGGTGGGTCTGGGAGACTGCGAGGCTATTTTAAGGAACACAACATGAGCCACAGACCAACAACCGGCATCTTAAACATGAACACAGAACACATGGAAGAAGGAAAAAGGAAATAAAGCATGTTATCTTTCGAGTTGCTGCATACACAAAATGCTTCACAGCTTATCTTCTTATGCAGAAGTTTCTTTGGTTAGTTGGTGTACTTGCCTATCTGCAAAAAATAGTGCTCAAACATGTTTTTAAAACACGCTCAACTGATCTTTTTAGGCTCAAAATGGTAACCAGACACAGTTTTCCAGACACTGAATGCACAAAATAGTTTAAGCATTACTTGTAGGTGTTCTGCTTTGATTTACAATGAGGATGAGGAAATAAGAGAAAGCAATTGGAAAGAAAATGGTCACGTGTGTATGAGATCCTATTCTGTGCAGTTATAATCACATGAACTCAATTATAATCAAAGTGGCCTGAAGGGAACCTGAACAGGATATCTGGGAAGGTAACGGCGTATTGGCTTTGGGAGAAAGAATAGATTTTGGCCAGATCAACAGAGGATTTTGACAAGGTTTGAGGTGAATCAAATAGTGTCAATTTGCTTTAGGTGTCATGCAAAGTGATGTACTAAATGTGTAATGCAGACCAACATGTACAGTAGCCTTTACACCACGTAAACACCGCTGAACAGGAAATCAGAGCACCTTCAGAGGGCTAAAGAACTGTCACCTAATGACTGGTCCTAAAAGGTTACAGATGGCTCTAAAACACACGCTGGGTATTAATGAGCTCTTGGAGAGGCCACACAGGGATACAATCAACCCGAGAATCTATACAGACCATTTATCAGAACCGACACTTTATCAGAACAACAGCGAAACCGATTCAGATTTCAAGCCCGGCTCTCGCTGTCACCAACCAGCTCCCGGCAAGCTGCAACCTAACGCGAGCCATCTCTCTCAACAGGTTGACCGATAAGCCCAACCACTTCAAATGAGAATTTAATTGTAAATATTCGCGATAGTTTTCTGGCGTTGATGGTTCTGTGCTCCCACCACTGGTCCAAATTACTGGCGCGAGCCTCTACTAACCATGCTAGCATGGCTAGCTTTTAAGTTTAAATTTGTCTCTTGCACTCATGACTTGAGTACATAAGATAGCGGCTGAGTGGTAATCGTCATATCAGTATGAAGTAGTAACATGTTCTCCTCTGGTGGATCACGGAGTGTTCAACCTTCGCCTCTGACAGCTCACGTTAGGCTTGTTGCCTGTAGCACCGAAGCTGCTAAGTTTCGCTAGTTAAATGGGCGAGCCCACAATGCTACAAGTTGAAATAGGACACATTCTTTCTTTTTGGTTTGATGAATACTCACTGGAAGGCATGCTGTTCTTACCTCGGTATCCACTACATCGTGGTATGCTGGAGGTGGATCAAAGCCAGTAGTCCCAGTCCGTCCGCTACTTTCCCCGTCCCCACTCGAGCCCAAGCCGGATGAAGGCCCACTCTCCATCGGTTCATATCCATAACCGAGTCCGGGGCTTTCATTGGTAAGAAGCGCAACTGCCTCGTTGATGTCATTCTTTGCTAGCCGGAGCGCTTTTCTAATCACGTCAGGATCCGGGAAACCCATGCAGAGGAGCGTGGTTATGTGCTGCTCCTCTTCGGTCTCCATTTTCGGGGTGTCTCCGTATCTCAGACTAGTAGTAACGGGGTGTTCGGCACAGCCCTGTAGCTGTGCACGCCGCCATGTTTACAGTCCGCCGCCGCAACTAGCATGTCACGATTTGCTGCTCCCAGACCAACGCCAACACCGGTGTAATGGCAAATTCTGTATACCCAGAACTACAGGCTGCCCTTGGGATTGCGCAAAAAACGATAAGCATAAATTAGGTTTAATACGAATTTAAAGCAACAAGAAACAACAACAAAGGGTTAATCATAGAAGTGTTTTTCACATATATTGCGATAAGTTGTAGAACTGCACACGTTTAATGAATAATTCATGTGAATCCCCACAACAGAAAATGGATTAACGATGTTTTATCATCTTGTAAAATCAAATATTTGTTGAAGTTTTTCATCTTGAGATTTGAGACAATAAAATGTAAGAACAACGTGATAATTTCTGGTCATGGACATATTTATTTCAACAAAATACAAATAAAATTGTTAATTAATTTAACATTTCACATAAAGGAAGATTAGACCTAGATAGGTAGCTAATTTTGAGTTGACATTTGAAAGATATTAAACAAGTCTCTTATTCAAAAATCTCATCCGCACAACTCACATGTATATGAACGTTTTGAGAACAGACATTTTGCTTCAACCTGATGCATATTCATCCTTATTTATTTATTTATTTTTATATTTTCGTCCTTCTGTACAGGAAACAAAAGTGACGTAAGGCGCGTCTGCGCGTGGAAAGTGGTTGGTTTTGATTGGCGGTTGTGGTGGCGGGAGTACGTAAGTACGTCACGTGAAAAGTCAACTCACGTGACAGTAAAAAAAATCCAGGATCAAAATGGCTGCAACTGGCGACGAAGCCGCAGCTATGGACAGCATCTCCAGGGAACCAGCGGCCCACTCGACTGCTTCAAGCCCACCTACAAGCAGTTCTGTTCAGGCGGAACGTTCAGACGAAGTAGCGGAAAATCTAGTGACTGCTCCCAAAAAGCCCGGTACCAACAGTACGTGATGTAGCAATGCCGCTGCTAATGCTAACAGGAACTTTTTGGAGCTTGGTTGTTGGTTGTTTTATGTATGATTGCCCTTAGAGCTTTTAAATTCGGAGAACATAAACTTTCCCATTTTGCCATTAGTGCGTTTCTTTGCCTGTGCTGAACAGAACCAGAACATATGTATTTATTCAGTCCTGATCTTTATTGTGCTAAGGTGATGGAGGTGTGGAGACTGCAGAGGAGGCTGTGGAACCTGCGGAACCCGATATCAACGAGTTGGGCACCGATATGTTTGAAAAGATGGCCATCTTCCTTCAAGGAGAACTAACAGGTTTCGTTTTCTTATTTCTTTTTCACGCGTTCTTTTATGATTTCATTGTATTCAGCAATTTAATTATTTAAATTGTTATTATCACCGTGCTGCCCACGGATGTGCCTGACTTTAAATCAGTTCTACGAAAGAGGTAGATCAGCTGATGCCAGTATATTTAAAAAATGGTGAAAATGAGCCGACTCGTATAGCGGTCTATTTCTAATTGAGATGGTCACTCAGACATGAAATCGGCATTTTTGAGTTGATGTAAGATTAATGAAAATAAGTGAAGATTTATTTTGGCATCCGTTTCCTCTATTTCCCCTTTTCCTCTCGTGAATATTGATCTAATCTGCTTGCCTTTCCAGGTACTTGTGAAGATTACCGCCTTTTAGAGAACATGAACAAACTCACAAGTTTGAAATACATGGAAATGAAGGACATCAGTATTAACATCAGCCGCAACCTGCAGGATCTCAACAACAAATGTAAGAAGTTTGGAATAAATTAAAACATAAAATTAATTATTTTTAATTGCATATTTTTTATTTAGGTGTTACTATAAAAACTCTTTGTTGTATGCATGTTTGCTTTAGATGCTAGCCTACAGCCATACTTGGACCAAATAAATAAGATTGAAGAGCAAGTATCAGCACTTGAGCAAGCTGCTTACAAACTGGATGCATACTCCAAAAAACTGGGTAAGATGCTCAATGCCCACAAGTGGAGGAGAGTATTTTCTGCTGAAATGTGACACTAACCTTCTCAGTGGCCTAGTGGTAGAGTGTCCACCCTCGCACTGGGATATTGGGGTTCAAATCCCGGTCAGGTCATACCAAAGACTTTAAAAATGGGACCCAATGCCTCCCTGCTTGACACTCGGCTTTCAGGGGTTGGATTGGAGGGTTAAACCACCAAATTGTTCCAGAGCACAGCCACAGCTGCAGCTCATCGCTCCCCACGGGGATGGGTCTAATCTGGAAATGTAATTTCACCAGTGTGTGATGATGACTAATGGGACTTTGACTTTAGCGCTGTGAATAATGATGATTTGATGTAAAAAGTTACACCTTCTGTATTTAAAGCATCCAAACATGCTGTTCATCCTTTCAGCGTTCTGTTAAGCCTGATTCATGCTTCTTCGTCAGCTCCAACAGGGAGAGACACACACGCACGGATGGAGACATTTTGCTCTCCTACTTCTCCGTCTCCTGGAGAGTGTTGCAAAGCAATTCCCCACCAGGACAGCAGAGGGCGTAGCGCTGTTGTGTGGTATCCTGTCACGTATCCGGTCCAAGATAGTGTGTTTATGTTGTGTTTTTTTGTATATAAGAGACTTTTTAACAGACAAATTTGTCTCTCATCCTCCTCCACCTCTTCATGCGCTCGCCACCCCTAAACCCAGGTTTCCTGTCATTTCCGTCCACAAATAAAACGCTTGCTGCGCATCTTTTCACTCCTCCAGTAACGGGGAATTAAACGTTCATATTTTTAGAGTTTTTCCACAAGGTATTCTTCAAGCTTCTCCGTGTCTGCTGCTTGTTATCCTCGGCTCTCTTTATGTTTTTGAGGGCGCGGTGTAGACGACAGCAGCGTCCTGACCAATCACAAGCTTGCGTTGTCCGTCTCGACTGCTGGAGAGCTCGACTCCGTCCGTCCTTGCGGAGCTTTCCAGCAGGCCCGCAAGGACAGATAATGGCATTGCGTGTCTCCACACGGACGCAGGCGGAGAAGCATGAATCAGGCTTTACTGGATGACAGCTTGAAGGTCTCCTTGGATGTGCCTGCTTTGTTGTGTGTGTGTGTGTGGTGTTGGTGCTACCTGCTCTAAAAGCTTACAGCAGGTGGCGCTGTGACACCACTCATGATCCAGAGCTAGATGCTGGCATGCATTTATATTAGATTACAACTTACAAACTTACATTACAGACTCGTGTTATTAGATTTAGTTGCACTTTATTTCCGTGTTAATTTCAACACTTATTTGCTTTTCTCTTTTTAGAGGCCAGATTCAAGAAACTGGAGAAGCGATGAGAAAGAGGAGACGGACTGAGAATTATGGTGCCTTCTCACTTCTTTCACCCCAGCCTGCCCTCTGCTCTTGCTGCCACCGGGCACAAGAGCTGCAGGGAGGATGTGAACTGAGACTAAAACAACAAACACTGAATCACTTTGAAACCTAAAAATCACCACAGAGGAAGCAGCTGGACTAAAGCTGCCTGGCACAGTGTTGGGCAAAGATTTTACTCTGACAGATATTCTGTGTACAGTGTGCGTGCGTGCGTGTGTGTGCGTGTAGTCATGTATGTTTTCATTATATTTCATCCGTGCGTCCTGGGAAACGACACATATCTACTAATGTAAAACGCCTCTAAAGATGTGCAGATAAATGTTGAGTGCACCTGTATCATGTGGATAATTTACCTGATAAAGCATGCTTTTGAGTCTCAGGCTACTTTAATTTGCTGCAGTAACTTTTCAGTACTCATATTTTTAAGTTCCATAATATTAAATATACACTCGGCTTGGATCGCTTATTCATCAGGTAGTATGAACGATCACTCAGAGTCGAGTCAGTTTAAATAAAATCATCTGTAATGAGAGCAGCTCCTGTCTCTGGATTTTGTAGCATCGAAGACTAAATTTTGATTAAAAAAAATTGTATTTTGTTCTGAAAAAAGTTGTTGGAGACATTTATTGTTTGAAATTTGTTATTTCGATATTTTTAATTGGTTTTTGAGTTTCTTTTTTCCTATTGGTTTATTTGGTGTCGGTAGTGGAAGAGTTAAGCGTCTGATACGTAAGCACAGGGTTACAAGTTGAAGCCCCGCTCTGTTGCAGACGCGTCCTGAGGAAACCTTAACCCGCCTTACCTGCTTGGTGGTGGCCGTGCTTCAGCCTCGCCTCTCGGTGTGTCCCAGGGCGGCTGTGGCTACACTGAACCACCACCACTGTGTGTTGTGTTGTAAAGCACCTTGGGAGGGTTGTAGAAACCTACAAGTTGCTGTGTAAGAACTGTGTTTGCCTTCTTTCCACAAATGTAGGGGCTGATCCTGGACTGGCATTTCCCGGGGTGGCCTGTATGCTTTTTTATTTCCAAAGCAGGAGAAGCGGCACAAAATAAAACAAAAATTTTATCTTTGTGTTATTACTTGTCACGCTGTGTAAATAAACTGTAGAAATGCAACATTCAAGTCTTTAGACTTTGTTTGCCTGCGTACAAAACACCACAATGCTGCAGCAGCTTTACGAATCAATGGAAGTTTGTTTGGACAAACAAGGAATCCCAACTTCTACAACACTGAAGCAGTTTTAGTCAAAGCACGCCAGTCACTGTTGAAGGACGTGGTGTTACAACAGATGGCAGACTTGCACCATAATCTGTGTTTAAAAAGACTTACTGTCAGTGTCTGAAGTTGTCTCCTGTTGCTGTGGGAAACCTGATGCACTGCTTAAAAAGAAGAGGATCAAGTTACAGATTTCTGACTAAAAGAACAAGTGAAGGGAAATGGATGACACATACTTGACCGATCAAAGGAAACTGAATGTCGGTTTGAAGATGTGTGTGCATGTTTCCCTCTGCCTCATGTCGGCGGCCTCAGAGCAGAACATGGAAGGCTTTTGCCAGGACCAACAGATTATCTAAACACGCAGAATCCTTCTGGAGTGTGTGCAGATCTCTCTGTTTGAGATGGTGTGCAGGAACTAATCTAAACCAGGTCTTTGTCATTAGTCCAGTCGAGACCCTGGCGCAGCACGAGCTCATTATTCATACTGTAACATTATTTACTGTTGCTTTCTAATCCTTCCTTCTTTTTTCAACAGCCTCAGGGGCAAAACCTCAACTCCTGTCCCAGAGGCTCTTATGTCAGGGTTATTAAATGGTTTGGGGTTGTTTTCTAAAAGCTAAATGTGAGTGGTAGGAGCCCATTAAGCATGGAGGGGAGAGTAATGCATTAATCATAGCCAAGCCTGTCTGGTGTTATTCAGTTTGGGATCTACTTCAGAACTTGACCGAGCCGTTGCAGTAAACTTTGGGTGTAGCAGATTTTGTGTAAATACTTGGCTTTGGCAGTGGGTGGGTGCAACACACCAGTGAATGAATTGTGCAGTTTTATTCAGAGTGAATCAAAAATAATTTCATGATCGGTGTTTGCACGTTGGAGTTTGAGGATTCAGGTTTTCTTCAAATTGAATCCAAGTGATTCATTGGGTGTGTGTGTTTTTTTGCACGATCAAAATAATTTATGAAGATGCTGAACTGCTGCACTGTGGTGCAGTTGGCAGCCCCGATGCCTCCCAGTGCAGAGTTTACAGGGAGTGGTGCCCCCAGAGGATTTTCATGGGGTGGCCAGAGAAAAATCTGGGGGTGGGACACCAGATTGGTCCGTGTGGGAACTCTAGGAGAGTTTAGCCTGTGGCGATGCATTGCACGCTCCTTTAATCATTTTCATTAAATAAACAATATGCATCCTACACACTTACCTCACATTTGAAGAACACAGTTTTTTCAGAAACACATTTCAGAGTTATTTGGAATGCAATTTTAAAATCTTCAGAACACTTTATTTAATTCACCTGTTGTTGTCATGAGCCGGGGTGAGTACTCCTTTTCTCTTAACCACCTGAGTCTCTTGCCAGGAGAGGGAGTGGCCCAGCTGTTCCTGATCAGCAATCAGCGGTGTGTTTTCCTATTTAAGGTGGATGGAGGACACAATTCGACGCCGGAAGATTGCCTCAGCTTTGGTAGTAACCAGCCACTCGTGTTACCGCTAGTGTTTCTAGGATTGATGATATTTGTAGTGGTTTTTGCTCTTCGTAGTGTTTTTATTTATTTATTTTTTACCCTTCTTCAGGATTCCTGTCGGTCACTGGATACTGACCTCTACTCCAGGATTTAGATATTCAGCACACGGACCTTATCACCACCCTCCATAACCCACCTCTCATCTCACCCAGTGCCCCATCCACCAGGACGCCCCGCTTCTCTCTGCCTCTGCTCCCTCTCCTGCACTTCCCCCGGCTCTCTACCTCTCTCCTCCAGCCAACACATACACGCCCCACAGTAAGTCTGCTGAACACCTCTGCCTGCCTACAATGGATTTTGAAACCAGAACCTAAGCTCACCTGTGTTCTCCCTCCTCCAGATGCTGAGCTGTCGTAGCAGTTCCAACCACAGACTTATCTGTGCACCTTAAGTTCCTCCTTATAAATAAATCGTGTTTTTGGTCTGTTGTATTCTGCAAGTCTTGGATTAAGTACCTTCCTCCAAACATGACAGTTGTTGGCTTCACAAAAACATCAGCAAAAACTTTTGATTTGAAAATGGTGAGCAGGAGAAACGTGTACTTTCTAAAATCTGATTATTTATTTACTCTTTAATTGTTTATTATGGGTTGTACATTTACGTCCGTTTGAATAATATCAATTATGAGCATTATTATGAAAACTTTAATGAACAAGGCTATTCTGGTCTGGCCAGCAGTTTTCTAGGGGGCCTCCCCGGCCACCCCATGGGGTGCCACTGGTTGCAGGTTTGAATCTGTGCTGCAGCTTTTCTGTGTGGAGTTGGCGTGATCCCTCCACGCATGCGTGGTGTTTCCCCGGGCTCTCTGGTTTCCTTGTAAGTCATTTTGAATAAAGTAAAATAACACTCATATCAAGGGTTTTGGACCCGTTTTAGCCCGTGTTGTAATCTAAAAGCACAATTCCTCTCTTTAGTGGTTTTCTATAAAATTTTGATGACAGTATAAAAAAGTACATCTCTGTATTTTGGACTACAGCTTCAGCCTTGTTGTTCAGAAGACTTCAGCTTTTTCACTTTTAAAGTGCCTCACATCTTTAGATTCAAAAATGTCTTTATTGCAGCCAATTGTTCCAGAATCTACGACTCCAAAGCTTACCCGCATCGAGACACAACAGCAACCTATAGCCAGCCTCTTCTTGGACTCTTGACCCTTGACCCCCTTTATTTTCTATCAAATAACATTTGCACTGCATTAGAAGATTTCTGCTTTAGGTTTTCCTGACCACAGACATCCCACACAGCCCGTGGCTCCTCTGAAATCCTTAGTTTCCTTTTCTTCATGAATTGATGTCCTCCTGTTCTTTAACTACGAAGCCCTGATCTGTTCAGCGCAGTCTGGTACAGGCAGGAGCCCCCACTCCAGATTTACCCACGTGAGCCTGCAGCCAAAAACATGCAAGTTCGATTACACAAGTTTAAGATGCTTTGAATAAAAGTGTCTGTCAGATTAAAAGAAAAGTTAAATTGTAGATAAATCTTTGGCCCATTTGGTATTTTTCTTCCTCAAGGTTTAAACCTTTGCAGATTTCTCTTTCCTGCAGAATTTCTCCATCTTTTCCTAACTTCATTGTCTTCAGTCTAAAAGACTCGCACTGTGTGGATGAAATGAGGTTGAATGTGTAAAGATTTCATTTTGATAGCTGGAAATCTGTCCTGCTCAATTGCTTCTGTGTGTGTATAGGTGTCTTGCGGCAACACTACATATCATTCTATGTCTTAAATAAATAGTTTGACATTTTGAGAAACACTCAGCCATCAAGTGGTTAGCCTAGCTTATCATAGAGACAGGGAACAGGTGGAAACAGTTACACACGGACTCTTTCCAAAGAAAACCAGATCTGATTATACGCACTTCTGAAACACGCTAACTTTCAGTCTCTTCTCGAAGTCCCCAGCCAGTTGGTAACCCAGTTTGACACGAAGAGTCAAGGATTATACCACACCAAGCCAGAAAATGGCCCCCACATGAATCCTCTCGACATCCGATCTGACGTGGGTTCTCAGATATTATCAGATATCTTTTTGAACATTTGAGCTTCTTGAAGAATGATTTTCTCCTTTATGTCTCTCTCTTTTTTAGGCTGGGCTGGTTGTTTCTCATGATTTCCATTCTTATGAAAACGGTTCTAATGAGCTACAGGTTTACATTCAGCACTGGGTTGACATATCAAAGTGTTGTTTTCCATTGCTGTAGGAACTGGCCACGGCAGGGTTTCTCACTCTGCTGTGATGTGCAGTTGTTTCTGATCGTACATGACTCTATGGCTGACAGACTTATTTATGTTTTAATTAACTTGAACAATTAAAAAGAAAATGCCTCCCATTTCTCAAAGGAGTAGCAGTATATTTTTCTGTAGTTTCACGCTTCTTGTTGATTTTGGAGCTGACGTACCTGAATAGTGAGTCCTTTTTGCTTAAAATCCTCTCATATTACTATTACCTCTGAGTCTGCTCCTTAGGACACAAGAACAATGTCACACGATGCGTTACATGTAATGTTTATGAATGGTGGTAAAGGTTAACACCACAGCTTGAAAAAAAAGCATTAAAGGCCAAGTTCACTGAGAAACCGTTGCTTACTTGTTATTTTTGTCCTTCATGAGGGCCGGGAATATTTTAGCTTTTTAATGACGCATACGTTTA